CCTCTAATATTCCTACACATATGAAAGGACTTCTTGGGGGACGCTTCTTAGTGTCAAAAAGGTTCGAGGAAAAACTTGTATTCTTAGTGAAAATAACCTACATCAACTAGATGTAGGAATCACTATAGATCTCCATGGGGGGCTTTGTTCGTTTTGGTTATTAATACATTCTATGGATTATGCATAACACAAAGCAACTAGATCGACAACAATCACAACATGTTAACGTCAAATTGTTTTCAATCCCTCCCTTTTCAAACTTGTTTTATGAACATCACATAGTATTTCAAGTCAACTGAGTAATATCTCCATTAGACATCACTATTACCAAGACCTCTAAAATGAAGTAATCAAATAATCTTCTTCATCACATTGAAAACCAGGTGTAATTCACACGCTGAAGTTGAACCACTAAAATTCCATGTGCCTTGTTCATGTTTTGATTCAAAGCTCTTTCTAAAGGATTGCGACTTAATCCATAACACAAAGTAACTAACTCAATAGCAACCACAACACACGTTAATGTCAAATTTTGTTCCATCCTCCTTTCTTCGAAACTCTTTCTATTCACATCAAGTCAATTCTCAATTCAACTTTGTAATATCTTCATTAGACTGTAAGTGTTATGCCCTAAGTCCAATCAACCTTGGATATAAATACTTTTGATATATAATTAATGCAATTTAATGGCAGATCTATTATTTAATTAATAGACAATTAAATTAAATAATAGAGTCCGTAGATTCAAATCTTTGTAATTTGTTAATCACAAGAAGTTGTGGTTATGAGATACAAATTACATATGATTGAATCTTAAAGCGTCCGTGGTCGTAAGTAATAACGAGATACGGATATCGTTATTACGGATAAACCATCACGTGTGGCATTTCTTACTTGTTAAGTAAGTAGCTGATCTTACAAGTTAAAGTGTGATGACACTTAAATGAACACGAAGATGTTTTGTTATAGAACGAAACATTGTAGACCCACCCACGGAGAGATTCTTCATTAATAACTATCTGAATGTCAGTGGTTAATCTCTAACGTTCGATAGTGGAATTGGTCCTTCGACTTGAGGTCGTCATAGTACCTTATATGAGGACAGACATATTTTGGCGGTGTTGGATGTTGCTCTACCAAGAGCCGCTAATACGGCATCGTTCAGGTATATCAAGGATCATATGAAGGTTGTGAATGACCAATAGAGGATTCGTCACTCTTAGATAGTAAGAGATTATGATCTGCGTTTCATTCAATTAAGTCGATAACAAAATCATTGGTCAAGGTGTACTCATAAGTTGAAAATGAGTTTTCGACTTATATTGATTTAATAGTGGAGTGAAAGATATGATCGATTATCGAAATTGACACACGTCCATATCTCGTAATTGATCGGATCATATTGACGAAGGGATTATAGTTTCATGATAAACGAACGAATTTCATTTTATTATACCACATGACATTTCTTGTCACATGTATTGCCCTGGCACATTGCTAGATGTCAATCTGGGACGGCAGTGTGAATTGGTGATAAATTAAAATGGTGTTTTAATTTATCAATTTTGATTAGATCAAAATAATATTTCACGTCGTTAGGTATTGTAATTGGGAACCTGATGGGTCGCACACAAAAGTGAATTGAAATATTGTAATTTATCAGTTAATTAATTTAACAATTGTTGGATAAATTAACTAATTGAGTTGGTTATTTATAAGCCCGAATTAATTAATTGGATTAATTAATTCATGGACCGAATTTAATTAAATGGATTAATTAAATATTAGATCAGGTCAGGCCAAGCCCATTTGGACTTATATAAATAACTGATTAGAGTTTACAATTTTGTAGAGAATTCATTATTCTTGTTAGTACAAGAAAAATCCTAATACTGTAATCTTCTTCTCTGTGTGAATTATCGTTAGAGGTTGGACAATTAGACAGTTGTAGGAGACAATTTCAAGTTACTGGAACAAAGATATGTCAAAGGAGTTTGCAGATTTAGAAAAATGTACAATCTTTTTCACAGTTTCTATCTAAAGACAAAGAGATTCTTGGTGAAAATCGAAATTTATTTTAATTTTCGCTACGCATATTTAAGTAGATTCCCAAGATAGACATCGCTATTATCGAGAGAAGAAAACACACGGAATAGTCAGCAAATTTCCTAATCAGAAAGCCCATTACCATATGTTTTGCGTTCAATCCCAGTATCTCTCTCTTGTTGGAAGATAGGCACTGCCCTTATATCAACTTCCGTAGGCATCACAGAAAATGTTCTATTTAAGGTGTCATGTTACCCTATAAATTCTTGATAATTTCAGTTCCAATATTTTTTCGTCTTAGTATTGTACAAATCTACAGATATTTTTTGGGTACAATATGAATTTATTGGCCTATAAGTTAAAGCATGAATTACAAAATCTTTAAATTAAATAAGTTGTGGAAGACAAAACATCATATCCCGTTCATCAAGGAAGGTCTTCTCTATGCTATATAGCTTATGGCTTTCTAGCCATTTTTCTTTGACAATAATAGTTTCTATACCTACGTCCGACCGTACTCTTACACCGTTAAAACCCTTGAACCCCGAGAAAATCGCGGCTCATGTAACATGACACGACATTTTATTCAAGCCTTTGAAAATTTGATAATTTATATTCGTCGACAATTATTTACTGGTTAGGCAAGGTGTAACATTCACTATTGATTACTTTTATTAAACAAATTGAGATGTACAACTTGATTGTATGATTCTTCAAGTTTATAATTTTTTGTGAATTACCTCTTTACTCAAAGGTGGGACCCACCTTTCAGGCTAAATGTCAAAAAATTGATTTTCAAAATCAGAACGATCAATACAATTTTTCTTCATAGACACATACTTATATTTTAGTGGTTAAAAATTCAAATGTTATTAAATTTTACAAGATTTTTGAATGCTAACTTATGAAATCATTGTTATAGTGGCCACTAAACTTTAAAAAAATTTCAAATGACTATTGAACTTATCAAATCGTAATCTCATCCATCATTAAATAACTCATTGTTTAAAAATTCAATAGACTTGCTAGAGTGACAGGCAAAATCAATGACAAAGCACATTATCATCATTAGTTTACATCAAATCAGCCAAAAATGCACTTCCATCTATTAGAAACGCTTATAAAAAAATGCGATTAAATTTTAACCTCTGAATGTTTTCTTTTGTTCATACGTGTTTTCATTTAGACTTGTTAATCGCATTTTTTTATTGTAAGTCCGTCAAATATTTGAATTTTTGAACGATAAATGATATAACAATTTGATAAGTACAAAAGGTATACTGTGCATAGTTCAATGACTGAAATTTTAATCCCTTTTTTTAGTGGATAGCACTCAATAACATTGAACTTTACAAAAATTAACATCCGGCTTTTTTTTGAACCCTGCAGCTTGGCCACGCTCAAAGTCAAGCCAAGAAACAGGGGGTCGACATGGCGGCCCTCTATCGAAGGGGTGGCTATTCTGCTTTGAGCCTGGCCAAACAAGTTTGCCATTTTTCTTTTCATATTATTCTATATCCTTAGCAAACAATTCGTACAATTTATGTAGCCTCATAGAAGTTACGATTACATATATACACAAGAAATAGATAGACCATTAAGCCCTTGTTTGATCCTCATTTTTCTAAAAATTCATTTTTTCGAAACTTATTTTTAGTCACACATTGTTCAATAAAATAATATTACACGCAAACCTAATTTTTTTTTTTTTTTTAATCACACATTCTCCATTAAACTATTATTTCAAAATTCATTCTTCCCTCAAAATGCAATTCAAACAAGAGCTAAAACCAAACATAATTCTTTTAATAGTGGGAAAATTGCAGAAACGGTTCCTAACATTTCTTTTTTTGCAGGCTTTACTCTAACTTCACTTTTTGTCGTCCATAGTCTCAAATCTTTCACAAATATGCATTGAGGGTCCAAATGGATGAATTTGACCGTTAATTAGCCGAAAAAGTCAAAATTTAATCAATTTTGACCAAACTGAAAAGGGCAAGATGGTATCTTACATTTTTCTCAAATTAAATATGTTAAAACAATTAAATTAAAAACCCAAATAATAAAAAATAATAATACCCATCACCCGTCCTCCTCCTTCCCCAACCCACCCACACAGTTGTCAGAATCGTGGTCGCCACCACCTACACAACTTCGACACCTCCACACTCGAAAAATATCAAGACACCCAACCCGATTTGAGAAGTTTTGAAATAGCTATCAAATCTTCATCCAAATCCAAACCTAAATCTTAGTCGTCAAATACAATACAAGTTGTGGTATAATTCGATATTACTTTTTTGGCAATAGGAGTCGAGCTTCTGTATAGTTCAAAAACTGAATTCAACTCATATGGAAAGGTAATGGAGACAGTGTTGTCAGGAGAAGTGTTGGTCTAGGTGGTCATTTCTAGATCTGGGTTCATGTTATTTGTAGTTGATGTTATGGCAACAATGATGGCGGGCTATCCGTAGCTGCTGAAGACGAACCAAATGAAAAATCAGTGTCATGGCATGCTGGTGGTTGGGTGATTTGATTTCTACTTTTGATTTGGGTGGTGTTAGATTTGATTTTTGAATTTAATTTTCGAATGTGCTATGACTAGAAGTTGACAATGGTGAGTAAGTGTTGTGGTGGCAGTTGTTACAATTTTCGAAACCTAAGAAGACAAGCTGCTATGGTGTTTTGACTTGGGGGTTGGGTTGGGTTGGGGTGGATTTATATATTTTTTTTATTCTTTTTTGGGGTTTTTAATTTAATTGTTTTAACATATTTAATTTGAGAAAAATGTAAAGTACTATCTTGCTCTTTTCAATTTGGTCAAAATTGATTAAATGTTATCTCTTTCTGTCAACTAGTAGTCAAATGGACAATTTCTATCCATTGGAACCTCCGGTACATATTTTTGAAAGGTTTGGAATGGTACAAAGTGTATAAAGTCTAAAAAAACAAAAGGTTAGAAACCCCTACTGCAATTTTCCCTTTAATAAAATGGGTAAAATCACCCATACTTCCACAAAAAATAAAAATGAAACTAAAATTGCATGATGAACACCCACCCCACCAGCAAGCTATTATAATCTTACACAACATATTGCATCTCTAGTTCTTCAAATTTTCCCTTCACACAGATAACCAATGTTCCCTAACATTTCACAGGCTAAAAAATGTCTGCTGCAGGACTATATTGCAAAATCTGCAACCATTTTTTATCATGTCGTCTTCGAGGAATAAGGCCTCTTGAGAAAACACCTCTTTTTTTTTCTTCTGGTAAAAAGAATGGCTAATAAGGGATCACTCAAAATATACAGACTGCAGCCTCCATCTAGCAGCCACCAGTAAATCAGGTCGAAAGTACAAAAGATCATCTCCAAAAAGCATCGGTCGAGAAATCCTCAACAGTAAAATCAAAGAAGCTTGCTGGTTCTCCGCCTTGACGGCCCTCCTGGGAAGAGCTTCATGATCCATCCCAACACCCTTTCCACCACCTATTTGGGAAGAAACGAATAATTATTAAGTGGGAAAATCGGGAAAATCATTTTATTTGATTAGTAGAAAGAACTAACTAAACAATGGAAATAATGTTTAGACTAATAATCTCAATGGCATGTGGGACAAATAAGTAATTGCTCATTTCCAACTTTGACCAATAAAATAACTATTTTATTTAAAAACTTATGTACTTGCATAACACATAAAATTTTTAAGCTTAGCCAAGTATGGCACGAGTTCAGATGTTTAAGGACAGAATACTAATTGGTTCATTACCTCGTCTCCTTCATCTGCATATGGCGTTTCATCAAGAGCAATGCGAGTGTCAGTCTGTCTCACCGAGATATTATCATTTGCCATACTTTGAGCTGTCAAGAGCTCTAATCTCTGCGTTTGAGCTTCAAGCTTTCGGGTCAATTCCTTGTTCAATTCCTTCATCCAGAAAAGACAAAGTATATAAATATAATATGAATAAAATAACTTCAGCTAAAATAAAGTAGCAAAACACAAAAGTGGTATAAACAGGCACCGCATGGTTACTGTGGATAGTGTTTACTGCTTTATTTTATAAAGCATACTGATATAATGTTGGTAAAAGCATAATATTTAACATGTCCTCTAGAATTCTCGAGACACGCACCTCTCGTTTCCGAAAGAAGAAAAAAATGGAAGTAAAATTTCCATTCACAGAATATAACTCCATTTTTCCTTTTTCCAAACATTACTCACTAATGGGATATGCACCAACAAACTACAACCCAATAGGTAACATGTCATTTTCCTTTCCCTTTTTTTCCCTCTTCATAATTCTCTGAATAAAAAATAATTGAAACTCATCCAACAATGGACAGTCCACCAATGCAGCAATGCATTCAAAAGTATGAACCACAAATTCAATAAGACATTTTTTTCTCTCATGGAGCTACTTCATTTTAGAGTATTCCGTGATGCAAGAAGGTGAAAGTCAAATTTAATGATTTCTCAAAAACATGCTTTCAGGATACAGACTAAAATATATAGGAGTATATAGGAACACAAGAAACTGAAAGTCCTCCAATGCAACTGTGCCAATCAATTATTTAGCTTCCCTAATGGCAACTTGTATCAAAAATCAATTTCTCCTCTCAGCATAGTAGAGACTAAGAGGAAAAGTTCACAATAAGGGGCTGCTCAAGATGAAAATACCATAAGCTTAGAGAGCTTTGGGGCGATTCTTCCAAAAATCAACTCTCTCTCAGAAAAGTAGAGAGACTAAGGAAAATTTCACAATAAAGGATCACTAAAGGTGAAATTACCATAAGGTTAGAGCTTTGAGATGATTCTGCCAACAATGCTTGTGTCACCTGATCTTTCTCCAATGCCAACTGCAGTTACGGAATTTTCCAGAGCCAATTTTAGTTCTTGAAAGATAAATGCGAAAAATACTAAAATACAATGAACTAATGCATCGAGAAAAAGATAAACTGGACAAAGTAGGAATAATAAGTTCTGTAATTCCAAGACACAAAAGCTACCTCGGCAATTAGTGTATTTATGTTCTGGATCATTCTCATCTGGTCAGAAGGAATACTCAAAGATAGACCCTCAATGTTGAATTGTCCATTTTCATGCAGATATTGAAAACTGGAGGTATCGTCTCCAAGAGAAGAAACGCCATAATTTTCCATGTTTAAGGCCTTTGTGGTAGTATCAGCATCTCTCTCATCAGCTGACTCGACAATATTATCTAAAATTAGAACCGTGGGAACGTAATAGGATCTTAACAAGGTGGGGGTTGTGCATGCCAAGAAATAAATGAAGAAAGAGCTCAATCAGATAAAGAAACGTGAATAGTAGTATGTTCTGGAATGTAAATGGTGAAAACCCACTCATTAGGTCGAGTATATTGATATATCTTTAAACAACTTTAAATATAATAGATATTCTGTAAACCCAAGGAAACATAACCCCAATTTTTCAAAGTACAGTAACCAATGCATCATGCATGGGACATACAATTTTAGGAGCACTCATATATATGTCTCATATGCTCACATATGCATACATCCATGCCACAAGATCACCAACCAAATCATTCATTACCATATCAATTTCTAAAGATGTAATGTATATATTGGTTGGGAGGGGAAACAGAAGATTAAAAAAAACCAATAACCAACTTATGTCTCCACACATAACCCCTCAGTTGAGGGAGAACCTGCTAGCAGCAATGAGCAAAATCAAGAATTACAAAGGTAAATTCGAAAGTGTTCTTTTCCAATAATTGGTACTTAATTCGTCATTTTTGCAACCTATGTTTTCAAAATCGGACCAAACTTTGACCCTAAAAAGGCAACGGGTCAAGGGTCAAGGGTCAAAAGATCGTATAGAGTTGAATCAGCAATCAAAAGATAATTAATTAAATACTTATATATACATAACTACAATTTAAGAACAATATTATGGTTAAATTTTCACATATCTATTTGAAATTAAGTGCAAATTCATGTTTGTTAATAGAAATGTTATTATTTTGCAATTTGATTAAACAGTTCAAAATTAAAATTATTTGTCCAATTGATTTACATCAATAAAAATAAAAGTATATATTTAAAGCGGTAGAAAACGAGTGATTTCAATCAAATTAGTTAGTGCAGACTTAACATAACGACCCGGGATTCTCTGGGGACTTCAGTTTAATTTTTGAAAATAATAATAATAACAATAATAATAATAATAATGAGAACTAGGAAACTCGAGAAAACCATGGCTTGTTTACCGGGGTCACACAGTTAAACCATTTATTAGGGTCGGTTTGTTACTGGTTGGGATTAAAATGAACAGTTAAAGGACATGACATGATAGAATAGGTTTCTGGCCCAATTTTACCAGTTGAACTGGCCAGTCCAGTCTGATTTTGAAAGCAGCAACAATAAAAATGTATAATAAGTTGTTTGTGTGAAATGATATTGACTCCAACAAATGACTGTGTCTACAAAAGATGTATGATCACTTAATAATATCTAAACCTGAGAGAAATGTAAAAATTGCATACCAAGATCCTCTGTGGAAGTTGATACGTCATTTGTATTAGATGGACTATTAATGTCCAATGATTTCCCAATAGCAGAAAATTTCCTTAGCTTGGACTGTAAGAGCTTCTTCTCTGTTCAACATGAAAGAAACAAATCTTAAAATGCTAAGTCATATATGTCCTGCGAAATGGATACACATTTGCATCCAGTACCAAACCAACCAGTAATGCAAGAGAAATCAAGAAGAAACGGCCTATCTTATATGTTGAAGAAGAAATCTAAGTCCCCTAGACCGATGAAGATCAAGAAGGAAATGATCCAAGGTCAATAAAACTTCGGAAATGCTTAATCAATAACCTAAGGTGGAAACTTAGGCCCCGTTTTTATTTTTTGACCGTTATTTCACTATTTCAACCGTAATTTTTGATTTCTTATCTTACAAGTGGCCGCCACTTTTCTCCCAACGGTCAAAAAATCAATTTTCAAAATCACTACCGAATAGGCCCTTAAAGAAATAAGGTCACTTGCCTAAATTTCTTGCTTTTCAATTTTAAGGTTAAAAATAGAATGTGTTTTTGTTTTCTTTCCTAAGTCCCCGCGAAGCATGAATTGATTGATTTATTATGCCCCTATTTGCTTCTCATTCTTTTTTCATTAAAATGAAAAATATGACCGTTATCCATCACATCAAGCCACCATATTTGAAATTTTATCTCTTGTGCGGGACCCGTAACGACTATCTTTTTCATTCTCATTCTTCCAAAAATGAGAAACAGACGGGGGCTATATTATAATGTAGCAGATCTTCAAAGAACGTGATTAAGGATGAAAAAGGAACGTTGAAGAAGGTGGGTGAAAAATGTGACAGGAGTTTCAGTATCTTTGTGGCAAAGAATGTGACTATGAGTGAAAAAGGGAACAAAACTTCTGATAGGACTTCGTGACGTACGAGGAATTTCGGCCATTTTTAGAAAGAATGAGCAATTTAAAATTTGGAATGCTCGGATTGTCGGCATTCGAAGAATTGTACGTAACTT